CCCGCAGCCCGTCCCTCTCCGCCTCCAGCGCCCGTAGCGCTGCCTCTAGCTCTGCCCGTCCCCGCCGCTCCTCCGCAAGCGCCTGCTGTGCCTCTTTTGACTGCTTCGCCAAGCGGGCTTGCACCGCCTCAAGCTCCCGCCCGAGCCCCTCCTGCGCCTCCCGCAGCCCGTCCCTCTCCGCCTCCAGCGCCCGTAGCGCTGCCTCTAGCTCTGCCCGTCCCCGCCGCTCCTCCGCAAGCGCCTGCTCTTGCGCCGCGTGCTCTGCCGACGCCTCCAGCCCCGCCGCCCGAGCCGCCTCAAGCTCCCGCTCCAGCAGCTCCGCGTACTCCGCCGCCTCCTTGGACTGCTTCGCCAAGCGGGCTTGCACCGCCTCAAGCTCCCGCCCGAGCCCCTCCTGCGCCTCCATCAGCCCGTCCCTCTCCGCCTCCAGCGCCCGTAGCGCTGCCTCTAGCTCTGCCCGTCCCCGCCGCTCCTCCGCAAGCGCCTGCTCTTGCGCCGCGTGCTCTGCCGACGCCTCCAGCCCCGCCGCCCGAGCCGCCTCAAGCTCCCGCTCCAGCAGCTCCGCGTACTCCGCCGCCTCCTTGGACTGCTTCGCCAAGCGGGCTTGCACCGCCTCAAGCTCCCGCCCGAGCCCCTCCTGCGCCTCCCGCAGCCCGTCCCTCTCCGCCTCCAGTGCCCGTAGCGCTGCCTCTAGCTCTGCCCGTCCCCGCCGCTCCTCCGCAGCGCCTGCTGTGCCTCTTTTGACTGCTTCGCCAAGCGGGCTTGCACCGCCTCAAGCTCCCGCCCGAGCCCCTCCTGCGCCTCCCGCAGCCCGTCCCTCTCCGCCTCCAGCGCCCGTAGCGCTGCCTCTAGCTCTGCCCGTCCCCGCCGCTCCTCCGCAAGCGCCTGCTCTTGCGCCGCGTGCTCTGCCGACGCCTCCAGCCCCGCCGCCCGAGCCGCCTCAAGCTCCCGCTCCAGCAGCTCCGCGTACTCCGCCGCCTCCTTGGACTGCTTCGCCAAGCGGGCTTGCACCGCCTCAAGCTCCCGCCCGAGCCCCTCCTGCGCCTCCATCAGCCCGTCCCTCTCCGCCTCCAGCGCCCGTAGCGCTGCCTCTAGCTCTGCCCGTCCCCGCCGCTCCTCCGCAAGCGCCTGCTCTTGCGCCGCGTGCTCTGCCGACGCCTCCAGCCCCGCCGCCCGAGCCGCCTCAAGCTCCCGCTCCAGCAGCTCCGCGTACTCCGCCGCCTCCTTGGACTGCTTCGCCAAGCGGGCTTGCACCGCCTCATGTTCTTGTTGTTGTGGTTTGTTGTGGAATGCCTCATTTTCTCGTTGCATCACTTGGTATTGGTCGGATTTGTTCTCTTCTGTTCTTATCTGTTGTTGGTTGTTGGTTTCTAAATTTTGTGATTTGGAAACAACATGTTTAGATTCAACTTGATTTTGTGTTGGCTTGACTATTTTTTCTTTAATCTTGCATTCGTTTTTATTTTGTCTGAATTTTGTTTCCACATCGTTCATTTTCAATCCCATTTCGTCGACTCTTGAATTGTATTTGGTCAGGAATCGATGGATTTCATCTTCGAGTTTCTGGATGATTCGACTTTCGACTTGTATCAGGAATTCGGTTTGAGGATTATCTGTTTTGCCGTCTCCCATTTCTTCATATCCACATATTTGACACATTTTGCTTTCGTCTTCTGTAAACTCGTTGATACTTGAACATGCAGGACATCTAGAACAAAGGGACAGAGATCAGATCATAAATTTGAGCATTCCACACGCATAAACCTTTCTCCCAAAACTTGTGGTTCCGCACGAGCTTCGCAATGTTTGCACATGTTCGTTTTTACTATATTGAATCGCTTCTATCAGACACTGCATCCATGTGTAGGCAATTACCTTTGTCTAAATGTTGCAGTTCGTTTCCGCAGGAATGACATCCATACACCATTTTCCACTTCGAAACAAGGGTTTCTTTTGCCTGCATCTACAAAATTTTGTCATTATTCGCTCAACACAGGTTTTGCCTTGAATCTCTTGAACAGACTATGATTATTCTTGGAAGTATACTATTTCTTTACTTTTCCGTCCGACCTCTTTCAAACAACAAAAATCATTAATCACATGAAAGGACTGATGCCGAAAATTCAGAGATGAGCACCATTTGAATCGATAGAGTTCAAGTCACCAGTACGAAAGCTAGGCTTTATCAAATCCATTGTTACAAGTCCCTCCTCCTCCTCCCCCCCCACTCCCTGTACATGAATCCTCTTAGGACAATGCATGAGTCAACGACGATGATTTTCTTGCTGCAAAAAGCGCGCGCATTTCTTTGAAAGCCCACCCCCCTTTTGCTCTGGCGTCGAAAGGGTGCTTGAACTGAGTTACTCCCTGGGGTTCTACTGGTAGCCTCTCACCCCTGAATAAACCCAGGAAACCACCGGTGGGGAGCTCTCTAAGGCATGATACCGGAGTCGGAGGGGAGGCACACCGTGCCCGGCCGGTCGTGCAACCAACTGGGAGCTGAGTCCAGCTAGTATCATAGTACGGTCCGAGCAGACTGGCAAGTCCACCTTAAACGTACGCCGACGATAGGGAGTCCAGTGGCGGTCACTGGGGCGGCGCTAATGTAAGGGCCTTCGTTCAAACACTCCATTTATAGTTCAAGTTTGTTCAAAACTCGGCGGGCCCACGCTCGCACGATTGGAAAACCGATGAACCCGGGTGACCGCGGTCGGACCGTACCGTTCTCAGTGACTGGCGTCCGACTAACGGTCGGACACACTAGCCCCGCCGGATCGGACATCGGTACGGTCGGACCGTCTGGGCCCGCCGGACATCCGAGTGCGGTGGGATGGGTATGAGGGGGAAGAAATCGGATGTAGTACGAAGAGGCAAGCAGCCATGCGGCGGCGTGGACGGCAGGCCATGGTGGCTGCTGCTGTGGCTGCTACCGCTCTTTTGGTTCTGATTGCTCTTGCGTCGTCATCATTGTCTTTGTCTCGCACGAACTTGCTAGGCTCTGGTAGAATGATGTTGGCATATGATGGTATGTACGACACGCCGCCTGTCACATGGTACTTTCCCGGTTCTCAACAGGAAAACACGCTGGGGTACACGTGGAACAACGTTGAGTATCAAACTCCCACTACCACTTACACACCTGGCATTGTGACACAAGATGGTATTGCGATGACAACGGCTGATACGATTGGCTTCTTAACTGGCCCTACCTCAACAGCCTACCCATTTGGAACAAATGTGGAATACCAGTCATATAAGTCCAAAGCCAGAAGTATGCTGGCAGAGCAACGTGACGATTTCGGTAGATTCGAGCAATTGTCCGATGCTGCTTTGGCAAAAGAGTTCAGGAACATTCGAGCGGGGCATAAAGATGATTTCACTCGGAAGCTCGACAAGTACTTCGATCGGCACAGGCAGACCTTTGCAAGTACAGGAGCCTCGAATAAGCAAGAGAGGAAAAGCAAAGATTCCAATACAGGCGGATTAGAAAAACTTCTTTCTCCCGCATCTTGGGATGCACCGTCGTCTCCAAGCAAGAAGAAGAACACAAGAAAGCAAAGTTTGATGAAGATCGATCCTTTCGAATATGACGTTCACTCTCCGGAGAAGGCTGATAATGTACTGGGGAATGGATATGTGAATGTTGCGCCATCAGGATCATCCAGCAATCAGTTTGTATTTCAAAATGATGTGCAATACCAGAGCCCTGCTGTAGGTGCAAATACTCAGTTGAACGCGTACCCCGCCTATCCAACTCCTGCATACTCCTTTCACGTGAATCATGGAGGTTGGCTTCCAAATGTTGATGGCGAAATCTGGGCATACAGTGGAAAGAAAGGTCCTAATCATTGGGGTGATATCAAAGGTTCATATGGAGTCTGTGCGAACGGACAAAATCAAAGTCCGATCAATTTTGAATTGAACGTCTTGAGGGATGATAATTTGAAAATGCTTCGATGGGTCGGTCCGACGGATCCTTATGAGGTCACATTAATCTCTCCGTTGTACAAGAATGTGATCACGGTAAGTTTTCATTCGTGCCAGCTTTCCGGGGTTTATTGATGAATCTATCGTTTTTTCACAGGTCGAAGGATTGCAAGGCACCATGGTAGTAAACGACGAAGAAGTTGAGTTGAAGTATGCTCAAATTCATACTCCCAGTGAACACAGACTGCAAGGAAGGCAGACTGCAGGAGAAATCCAGTTTTATCATACGTCCAAAGGGTCATCAGACGTCAAAGTGGTCGTCTCAGCCTTTCTTGAAGTCGGTCCTTACACTGCCTCATCATTACAAACGATCATGGATGGTGTTGGAGGGTTTGAGGGCACCTACAATCTTGACGCCAATGGTCTTGCTGGTTCTTATGTGTATCCTCGATATGGTCAGGATGTGAAACCAAGCATTTGGTTTGATACTGCAAAAATGGCTGAGGATGTGCTGGGAGCCGGAAGCAACTATGCAAATTACTATACGTACTATGGGTCCCTCACTGCACCACCTTGTACTGAGGGAGTAACGTGGTGTGTATTTTCTTGCATCTTTCTCCCACTGTTTCTGATCAATATGCTAGGATCGTCCTTAAGACTCCAGTGCTTATTTCTCCAAATCATCATGCAGATTTGCTCTACGAACAAGGGTATACAGCAAGGCCAACTCAGCGTCTATACGATAGAGAGGTGATCAGTTGTAGCTTCGAAACTTGTGTTATTTCCGTGATTTTTGATCAGGTGTATGACACAGCCACTGGAAGATCTCTTGGATTCCAATCTCCTTCTGGTTGGTAGGTTGTTTTTTTCTTGGATGTCGTTTGTCGCCTTTCTCCCCCCTTTGTACACAATAAAATTTTCCTTCCTGAGTCCTCTTCAAAGAAATCTACTGATGTCAGAGATACCATGAAACCTCTGCAGCAATCATAGAGGAGAATCTCAGCCGTTATGCTTTACGACTGCGATTCCTCCATGTGTAGATTTGAGCAGATCTAATGGAATCATTTATGGGCTATTCCTTCTCAACAGCTGCAGAGTGTTATCCATCTTAGCGCTGCAGGGACGTCTGATGAGAAAATCGAAAATTTCAGGTAGAAACTCACTCTTGGTTTGGCTGCATTGTTACCCATCGAAGAGTAGATCTTCCAAACTTATCCTCTTGCTCCGGGTCTGATCCAGAATCAAGAAGAATTTTCATTATGTTGGCATGCTCCCATTCTGCAACTTGTATCAAAATGACTGAAAAACAAATCCATCAACACATGAAGACATACTCGTTGCGAAGAAAAGAGGACTTTGCCCAACATACTTGCATCTCTTGTTCACGTCGGCGCCAGCTCGTATCAGTTCAATGACTTGGACCTGATCTCTGCCTAAGTATTCTTGCAATATGACGCAGGTATGATTGCGCTACCTCCCAGCCATTCATACAAGCAGCATGAAGCGCAGTCTTTCCATCCTCATCAAACAAATCCACTGCATCTGCAGCCGCGTTTCATGAAGTTAAGAAACGAAACATTTTGACAACCTCGTGAAACCACAAGAGCATTTGCGATAATGTGGCGAACTGTCTCAACATACTGACCATGGTCCATTTCTTGAAGGTGGCCTAGGCTTCTCTGCAAGCAAGTTTTATATGCATGATAGTCCAACAAGTCACCGATCATTACCTGCAATTCCAAAGACGCAAGTTGGTCTATTAGAAGTCTCTGATCATCAGCTTAACAAAGTTCACAATGTCGCATCTCGTTTCACCTCATCTCGTTGCACTGGAGCAGCCTCCTGCGAGTTTCCCATTGTCCAGCGTGCAAGGAAGATAGCTGTGAACATCAAAGTCCGCACACTGAGGCTAAAGATCTTCGCATCATCGATTGTTTTCTTGCGATGAGTGGAGGGATCCTGCATATCAGCTACTTGTCTCTACGTCTTGAGTCGTCAGCCCTTCTTCATCATCGTACGAGCACCTTTACTTCTCCCCCTTGCCGCATTTTCTATGCACGGCCCTAACAACCGCAATATAAAAAATAGTAGGACAGGCCGAACGCGGCGGCCTGTTAGACTAGTTTACTGTGAGATCGAAAGGCCTGACTACAAGGTCCAGCATGCCTTCCTGGCGGCTGGCAGACACGCTGATCCCGACGAAGACTCGCGCAGCAGCTTGCTAGCGCAAGATTCAAGTCCATGATATCAGAGCCCAGCAAGAGGCCAACATGAGGGCCCATACGGACGGACACAAAAGTCTCAGTTTCAACATTCAAGGATACAACGCCTAATCTGTTAGTTTAGAGTAAAAGAATACTTTCCTCCGCATTGCTGCCCTGTGAAGCCAAACATGTCACTAGAATGACAGTATGCACACGATCGGGGCTTACTTGGCTCTTCTCATCATGCACTCCCACAGACTGTCTGGCCTTCTTGGTTGCTTCCTCGACCGCAGCTTGCCACACCTTGATAAATGCAGTTATGGCACCGCAAATGACAGCAGCGCAAACTGACCTGATCTGGAGAAAGAGGAAGGGATCTGAGTGCTCCGAGTGCAATGTCTTCATCTCGAAGCTCGCTCAACAGCAGAGGCATCTCCTTCAAGAAGATCTGAAAAACCTCATTCACACTATCTAAGTGTGCTAGCTAGTGGTACCTGTGCATACTTCCAGGCATTCTCGCACTGCTTTGGAGTTCCCCTCACAACCATACACCCACTATCCAAGTTCTGTAGAACGACGACTGAGATCTTGTAGGTGAGAACAGCAAAACATACCTCAGCGCCTTCCTTCTCACCCTCATAACCCTTTTCTTCACGAGAGTTGTATTGCTTTCCGCTAGAAAACCGGATCCTCGCGCCAGTTTCATCTTCGATTGCGCGTACAACAACACTTCCTTTGCCAATCAAAGTGCCATGGTACTTGCGATCAAGAGGGAACCTCTGTTCGTTCGCCTGCTGGAATTCCCACATCTTCCCCTGCACAAGCTGCCAGGCTCTCTGGCGGGCCTCGAACGATCCGCAAATGCAGCATCTTGGCTTTGGCTCTTGCCGGTAAACAATGTGTGCCCCACTTTGTTCCTCCATAATCTTCTTGAGCTTGCCTTTGGCTCCGATCAGCTTGCCATGGAGTGAGATATCAACAGGATGTTCCTCCATTGTGTTGTCGTCGATGACTGCCTTAGCCATGGCCCACGCCTTGACTCGCTCAAACTCACGGCCCTTGATAATCATGACATCCTCTGGTTCGGTTTCAAAGAAGATTCGAGCTCCGCTCTCCTGCTGCATTTCTTGCACAACCTTACCTTTGATTCCAATCAATGCCCCGTGAAGAGATTTGTCGACTTTATGAATCTCCTCCTTATCTCCCTCATTGACTCGGTACACCTCCAGCCATCTTTTCCCCATTCTGTTACGATGCAAGGCAATCGCTTTCTCGACACTCTCTTCATCCTTGAAGGTCACGATGCATCTTCCACTCGGGGTCCCGTCACGTGACCAGTTGATCATTTGCACTTCCTGTACCTCACCGCATCTCGAGAAGTATTTCAGAGCCGTCCCTTCCTTCGCCCTCCATGGGAATCCTCGGACAAAAACACGCTTCTTATCTTTCTCCGACGGTTCAAGAAGAATGGAGGTCTGAACTTGGGCAGTAGCCACGTCATACCCAGCCGAGATCCAGGCATACAGCTCTGGGAACGTGACAGAGGGCTCTGACCCTCCTGACACTGTAGACAATCTCGCAATCACTTCAGTGCCTTTCTCAGAGGTCATGTTGTGTCCCAAGGTTGACATGAGCTCCAGAAATTCGGCGTGCTCAATTCTGTCGTTAGAGTTCTCATCCGCTAACTGGAAAAGTTTCTCCACGTCTGCCTTGGAATATCTGCTATTCTGCAGAAAGGCTGAGACCTTCTGGGGCACTGGCATTTCTTCGAGAACCTTCTTATTCCCGGCCAAGTACCAACGGTAGAACTCTTCGAAGGTTACAAACCCATCCTTGTTTTCATCAATCTCCCAGAGAGCTTGCAAAGCCTTTTCTTTAGACCATTCTTTGCCGATTGCACCAGAAAGCAAAACAAGCTCATCGAGGTCAATCTTCTGATTTGAATCTGTGTCAAAGAAAGAGAACAAGTTTGACATCTGTATCCTTGAGATGATCTTCTCTTCAGGCACAAAATCGTCAGCATTGGGCCCCAATTGAATATCAGGAGCAAACAGTCCTGGACCAAGAACGACATCTTTAGCCTTGCTGTCTTCGCCCTGATTCATCTTCAAAGAAACCACAACGTTCCTTGTCATCCCACAAGCTCCTCTGTGCTGGGGTTTTCCAACGGACCTGATGCATTGCGAGAAAGTTGCAGGTACAAGCCATGCAGAGGAGTTGAGAAATTGAGAAAACAAAGAGATGTAGAGCAATGAATATGTTGATCTCATTTTGTTAATGATCCAGTATTTGCTTCAGTGCTTCGAAAGCTGTGATTAGCGGAAACTACCGACCAGACTGTTCGAACTTCAAAATGTCCGGCAACTTTTCATGGGATGACAGCAAAGTTGAATGCAGGGCTAGAAAACTGAAAGAAGGAGAGCCTGGACGAAGAAGAAGGGAGAGAAGAAGCGTCTGAGCAATCGAATCAGTGGGAGGGGGAGGAGAGAGGCAGGAACCAAGCAGCGAAAGAGAAGAAGGGGAAGTATGTAGCTAGCAGGCCTTATATGTCTCCTCCTTGAAGTCTCCTCCTGTTGTTGTTGAGAGGTGTCTATCATGGGGGTGGGGTGGGAGGTTAGGGTCACCTTACGAATTGTTGGGTGGGGGTACGTAGAGCAGAACGGGTCTGCACAATCCCTCCCACCCGTTCATTTCTCACAAATTTGCCTTCAAATGAAGGGGTATTCCATACACGCCGGCAAGGGTGTAGGTAGGGGTACAGTCCTTTTGACTTTACTACGGGTGATTTTCACGATGTCTGCACCAAGGGGTGGTTAAAAAGCAAGGGGTGGGGGTGGGGAAGCAATCTGTATTCGAAGATGTAAGAGTGTAGGGTAGGGGTACTACGTTTCATAAAGTCTCAGATCACCGGTACTTTTCATTGAACTTTGGTGGGTATAGTTGATCAATTCCACGATGGTATATTGTTCTACCAGGGTGGGGTGGAGCAAATTGCATTTTCGGGCTTGAACTCCGATATCAAATTTCAACGAAACATTTGAATAAATTTGAAATTTTATGAAAATGTGTGGAAAAACTTAGCACACCAAAGTTTCGATCATACTTCTGTGAGCTCGAAGTTCCTAAGTTTGAGCGGCGGAAAATGCCGAAGGTGAGGATTTACTGGAGGAACGCAGAGGAGGAGCGGGGAGAGAAGGAGTTCAGGAGGATGAGGACAAGAATGGCGAGTAGGAACCAATTTTGCATCGTGGAAAGAGAATCTTGCAACTGAGATGTTGCTATGGGTAGAAGGAGCTGTTGTTCTTCAACACCTACATCGGTATGAGGATACGATGAAGAGTTTGAGCTGATACTGTTGGAGTAGAGGTGGTGCCTTGGTTTGAAATTCCTCCGGAGTAGGCCTTTGACATTGAAAACATTCGTTGATGGTCAAATCGTTGAGATCTTTGGGACGTAGCACTGCCCGAAGAGGATTTGGACAAGAAGGAAAAAGGAAGTGAAAGGGGTTGGTGACGTCGCTTCGGATTGGCAGCACTAGTTGTAGATACTAGCATTTAGATACTAGCTTGATCATCACTGATGCAATCTTGATTGCAGGATGATGAGGATGTGATTGAGTTCCCGCCGGAACCTTCAACATCAAAGTAAGTTCCTGACCTTTAGTTCTCAGTCCTCACCATCGCTCAGCCTGCCCGAGCCTCGTCCTCTAGAGTATGATGGGAGCAAATGGCCTCCCTCCAAGCCTCTTGTGATCGATGTAGGATCCCACTCAACCAGGTCCGTTTTCCTTGTTTGTATACCCTCCCCCCTCCCCTTGCAGAATGATGCGAGGAGCAGAGCCGGCTGGGCGGGCGAAAAGGACCCCTGCGTTGTGCTCCGTTCACTCGTAGGGAAGGCGAAGGATGGGAAGGGGGACCTCGTCACACTAGCAGGTGCGCTCTCGTGATCCTTCGAGAGTGCGCAGCATCCTGACTAAACGTGGACGCCAGGCGACCAGCTCTTGTGTAGGGACATCTCAAAGACGATGGTGAGGTCGCCGTTTGAGAAGGTAGAGGCGGCAGAATTTCTCGCGAATCCGAATGTTGAAAGTTTTTGCAGGATGTTGTTCAGCACTTCGAGAGCATGGAAACAATCTTGGACTACACGCTGTACAGGATGGGGATCCACACGGAGAAGCTCTACCATCCAGTTCTTGTCACCGAAGGTCCTTTCTGTTTCATCTTCTCTGCTTCTCTCCTTCCGTCTCGTCCTTAGATCTCGTCTCCTACATCTCGTTTTCTTTCTTCTCCTCTCGTCTTTTCCTTCTTCTTCTTCGCTATCCAAACTTGTTCAAGTTCCCCCCTGTTTGAACCCATCCCACAGCACTGTGCAATCCCAACTACTGCCGCTCGAGATTCTCCGAGATTCTCTTTGAGTGCTACGGAGCACCGAAGGTGATATGACGAGTTTATCGTGTGCATCTGCTGTCACTTGCTCACCAGTTGATCAGGTCGCCTACGGTGTAGACGCGCTGTTTGCCTACGACTCGATGCTCAACTCCCCAGCTTCCTACACTCCCCAGGAGACTGTGAGCATTTTCTCATGCCGGGACTCAAACTCCTGATCGATTGTTTCCTCTAGTGGGGCGGGAAAGCGTCTCATGGGCTCATAATTCGCGTTGGGCACTCAAGTTCCAACGTCATCCCGATCTATGACGGGGCAGTAGGATTCAAGGTGACTGAACGTTTGACCTCCTTTTCTTACCCTTTGCTCCTCTTTGTCGCTTTTCCTTGTGCCTGATCTTTGCTTGTTATCCATCAGTCATCGTACAGGATGGCGTTGGGAGGCTTCTCCTGCTCCAACACTCTCCAGCAGCTCCTCCTCCTCAGACATCCACAGCACAAACCTGCAATCACTGCCCACCGCGTCCAGTTGATCAAGGAGAAGTTTTGCTTCGTCGCCCAGGTCACCATCTCGTCCTTCTGTCCCCAACGTCCGAGTTTGACTGAGACTGCAGGAGGATTATATGGAGAAGTTGCGGGAATACGAGTCTCTCGAGAGCCTGCAGAAGAAGTCGATGAGGGTTGAAAATTTGTATGTTGGCTCACTCGTCTCCTCGCAGAATTGTTAGGTTTCAGCTGCCCTACACTGAGAAGGTCGTGTCCTGCTTCTCCTGCCCCTCACGATTCTATTCCTGCTCCTCCCTTTCCTTGTCGTTTGCTTGGCTATCCAACCCTTTCCCTCCTCATCCTTCTCCGTCCCTCCCTCAGCTCTTCCCCAATGCCCCCGCCCTCCCCGCCCCTCGTCCAAGTTTACTTGAAGGTGAAAGTAGAATGCAGGAAGTTCCGGTGCAGACTGAAGAGGAGATTCAGCGGAGGAAGCGACAGGTCGAGGAGCATTCCACCTCTCATTGATGTTTCTTCTGATGCTCTCATGGCAGCGAGAGGAGCAGGCCAAGAGATTGCGGGAGATGGCTTCACAGAAGAGGCAGGAGAAGCTGCGCGTGGTGAGAGGAAGATGATACGATGAGCTGACAGCTGAGAAACAATCCTCCAGCTTGCCCAGAATATCAAGGCTCTCTTGGATCTCCAGGTTGTTCATGTTGTCATTGCGGAGATGATGATGATAAGGAGGAGGAGGAGGAGTAAGGGTGGGTGTGGGGCGGGAGGTTTCGTAGGAAGGATATAGGTTTGAGAACAGGAGGATACGGTTTCGAGAGGATTCTTAGTTGGATACTGTGATGATGATGGCTAATTTTGCGGTGAAGAACCAGATGAAAGGACTTAAGGGGAAAGAACTTGCAGCCGGTGATTGACCGTCCCTGCCCCACCTGATTCTTTGCCGCATCATCTTCATCACCTCCTCTGACCTCCTGATTATTTGTTCTTCCCCTCCGTGTCCCTTTGCTTCCGGCCTATCCTCCTCTCTTGATTCTCTTTCCATTCTCTCCTCCTTTCCCTCTCAATGTTTGTCCCTTCCCTCTCTCCTCTCGCTTCCGTCATTTGGCTTCCTGACTAGATCGATGAAGTGGGCGAGAAGATCGCAGCCTTCGGCATCTCGGAGCCGACAAAACCTGCCTCCGTCTCCAAGTTCTTGGGGTGAAGCTCGTGAACGGGGGAGGAGGAGAGGATAGTGAATGAGGAGGCAGGAATCTGTCAAGGCAGCTGAACGATATCCGAGCAAAGCACAAGGCGAAGGGGTTCGATGTTCCTGCGGGTGAGGCGAGAGAGGGCGGGGAAGCTGCTCCGGCGTCGATGAAGTTTGATGCCTCAGACGATCCTGTGGTTGAAGAGTTCCTGAAAGCTGAACCGGAAGAGGACAAGGAGGTGAGGCCTGCGCACATCGACTTGTTTCTTCCTAATCCCGATCCTTGCTCAGGAGAGCTTCCCTCTGCTCAACGTGCCGGACGACAAGTTGAGCGCCGAAGACGTCTCTCGGCTCCTGCTGTCTGTCTGTCGTGCTGACGGTCGTTCAGAGAGAGAAGAAGAGGAAGCAGAAGATGATGGCTGGACTGCAGCAAGCTCGTCTGGCAGAGAAGGTGAGAAACGGTTCCTGTACCGTTAAAACGTCTGAGCGATTCTCCCTCCCTCTCCCCTTCTTGCCTCTCCGTACTACAGAAACGAAAGACGGAGCAAGCTGAAGGTCTTCTGCTACTTCTGCTTGCTGTTTTAATGAACCAGTGAGCAGAGAAGCAGAGGAAACGTCAGGAGGAGGAGGAGGAGCGCAAGCTCGATCCTCAGAAGTGGTTGACTGGAGCGAAACAGAGGGTGAGAACTGCCTTCAAGGCTGGTGGTGAATGATGACTTGAACGGCAATCTAGCACGCAAACTTGTTTCAAAAGTATCAGCAGAGGCAGAAGAAGAAGGTGACAAATGGTTTTGTCCACTTCTTCTCATCCTCCTGTGTCAGTCCTTGCTGTGTCCCTTGCTCTGATCCTCTCCCTTCCCTTCCTGCCTGTTTTCAGTTCCATCTCGCCCCCGCCACCCCCCCCCCCCGCCCCCCGGCCGGGACAACACTACTTTTCTCCTACCATATTCCTCTTCTCCCCATTCCCTCCCTCACACCCTGGATGCAGGCCATGGTGAACGACAGGAGGTCAGAGGCCTCAAACGAGAGGATGAAGGCGATTATCTCCACCCTTGCGGGATCGGAAGACGCAAAGAAGAAGAATGCAGACGGATGCGCCGGTAGGACTGTTCTAGCATGCGGCCAATTCCCTCAGCCTCTGTGTGTACGCAGATGACGGATCTGACTTTGGAGATGATGACGATGATTGGAACGTGTACAGACAGGTGAACGGGTTGCGTTTTATTCCCTTCTTCCCCTGCTCTGCTCAACTCCCGTGCCCGATCGCTTCAACACCTTTCTGCTCCTATCTCTCATACCTCTGCTCCAGATTTCAAGGGAAGCAGTATCTGACAGCAGCGAGGAGGAGGTTGATGCTACTCTGGCCGGTACTTGCTATCTGTACGATCGGGCGACCCTCTGAATCTTCTGTCACAGAGCTGGATGCGCAGATCTTAGAGCTCGATCCTCTCCATATCCCAGTGTCACAGGTACAGAGAATACTTCCTCCCCCCTCTCTCGCTCCCACCTCCCCGCTCCTCTTTCCTCCTTCTCCCCCCCCTTCCTGCCTCTTACTTTCTCCCTCCTCGCACCTCGCTTCTCCCTCTTTTGGCTCCTCAATCACACCGGGAAAGTTCCACCAGGAGAACGAGCCCAGCACCAACGTCTACATCCCAACCGCGCGAGACTTTCAGCTTGCTCTCTCCACCGAGCTCATCCAAGTCCCAGAGATTCTCTTCCAGCCCTCCATCATCGGGCTGGAGCACTGTGGCATGGCTGGTAAGAAGAGGAGGTGGAGATGGCAGGGGTTTTGACGCAACACTCGATGTCAGAGCTGATCAACAACGTGCTGAATCGCTACAACATGGACCAGAGGTGTGTGATGGAGGCGGAGGAGGGAGGGAGGAGGCGGAGGTTGACGAGCAACAGGATGAGGATGGCGGAGAACGTGTACATCTGTGGAGGGGGGTCGCTGTTTCCGGGTTTCAAGGAGAGGATCGAGTACGAGATCCGTTGCCTGCTTCCTGCAGGGGCAAATTTGAACGTGATGCGTTCACCTACCCGCTCCTGCTGTCGCTGACCTCCGATGCCAGGTGGTGGTGGCCCACGATCCGATCCTTGAGACTTGGAGAGGAGCGTCCAAATTCGCAGCCCATGAGAAATTCGAGTCTGTCTGCTTGACGAAGCAGGTGGACCTCCCTTTCACCCTTGTTTCCCCTCTATCTCTCCTCGTCTCTTCTTTCCTCCTCCATACTGCCTCTCTCCCTTCCCCACTCTCCTCTCTCCTCTCCACCTCTCTTTGCTCTCTCCCTTCCCCTCTTCTCCTTCCACTCTCTGGTTCTCTCCTTATTGACTCGTACCCTCACCTGCATGCCACTCGTGCATCTACGATTCTTCAACCTCTCCTTCTTCTCTCGTTCTCGTCCTCTAACTGTTCGGTTGTCGATGCAGGAATGGGAGGAAAAAGGACCAGGGTATTTGATCGAGCACCGCTGCTCGAACAAATTTTTTCCTTCAATTGCCTCAACTATGTAGCAAAATGAATAAGATACACGAATCAACATTAGCACCATCACAGGAGATGGAAGGCCAGCTGTCGCCTATGATGCTATGTATTCCTCCAGGGCTTTTTCGAGCTTTTCACAGATCTCCTGCAGGCATGCATCTGAGTCGACGAGGGAGAGCAGCATAGAGTATGCATACCTTGTGATCTAGCTTCAACTTCGCCATCTTGCCTCTCGCTTCCATCACCTGCACCACCATAAGGAGCAAGTTCAGCATGCAACTCTCCTTCACCTCCATGATCGGTATGTCCGACCGCGGATACCCTTCTGCATCTATCAAGGGAGTGTGTCTCTCCCAGAACTCTCCCGACACATGCGCCGGGGCACCCAATTGCTCCATCAGGTCCGCATGGGATTTGATCTCTTCCTCTATCCTGTCCCGTTCCTTCTCTAGCTCGAGGACCTTTGCCCTCAGAGGACTCGCTGCCTCCTCCTCCTGCTGAGTAGGGATCACACCATTCGGACATCCTCCCCTCATCCTCAAGATTCTAAGCCTGCCTCGTCCTGCTCTTTCTGCTCCTGCTCTTTCTGCTCCTGCTCCTGCTCCTGCTCCTGCTCCTGCTCCTCCTTCTCCTCCTCCTCCTGCTCCTGCTCCTGCTCCTGCAGTTGTTCCTGTCTGCATTATGGTTGATGCCAACCGTGCTTCTGCTTCTCCTCCTCCCATCACTTCCAGGAGCAGCACCGCTACCATGAAACAGGCCCTCGCCATGCTGGATTGGCAATTCACAAGGGTGGGGTGGTGATATGTCCCCTACTTCTGTCTGTATACGAAAAGAATAGGTGGGTAGGGGGTATTCCGATATTAGGGGTAGGGTGGGCAAGCAATCGGGGCCAAAACAATATGCAAGCAGATCGAGAAGATGATGATTGAGATGGTGATGATGATTGAGATGATGATAACGAAGAAGGTGATGGTGATCATGGGGGAGATAGAGATGATACAGACGACTATCATCATGATGATGAGCGGATGATAGCATGAATATTAAGATGACAATGATCTAGATAATGATATCATGGACTATGTAGATGACGGAGGTGATAGTGATGAATGATGGTGGAGATGCAGATGATGTTGAGAAGGACATTCAGGTTTCCTTGAGGTCTTCTGAAGTATTTTATTTCCAGAATCCTGTGTGATGTTGGTAGGGGTACACGGGCTGGCGAACAAACATGGAACATGTATGCAAGCAGGCAACAAAAAGAACGACTTTCCAACATCAAGAAATGTAACAAACAATACTACTTTCCATTACACCTCGGAAGATCCATGGATCACAGGAAACCCACAGTACAAAAAAATATAGAAAGGATAAAAGACTGGCATCAGCTTCAATGCATGTCTGCAAACTGCGAGTAAAGTCTCTGCTTCTTGCTAACTTGAAACGATGTTGCATCCAGCATGTGAGACTGAGAAGAGAGAGGGATCCCAAACTGTACATACCCATCGCAGACAGCTGCACTTCTCTTTCGACAGATCTGCTCTTGTCCTTCGCATTTCAGCATCGCAGAGGTCAATCGGTTCCCATTGAGACTGAGAGGAACTCCATTCTTTAACATCTCCAGCGGGATCATCTGGAGTGCCTCCCCACAAGCAATCTCATCCGCCAGCATCGGGTGAAAGTTCTCTGGTTCGTGGAGGAACGACGTAGTCTTGCTCCCGGTAGGAACCTGATTGGCATTGATTTGCGCCAAAGAGCCAAAGCCTGCATCCAAGCAAATTCTACAAAGCTGTGTTTCACAACCTTTCCCCCCAAGACAGAGATACAACAAAGCACGTTTCCCACAATTCCTGCAAGTCCCAGTTTCTGCAATTGGGTGCGGCATTTTCCAGATGTAAGCAGGGAAGAACGATCTTAAGGAGCTTTTGGACCTTCACCGCAGAAAGTGTCTACTGTGCTGGAGAATTACACCCGACTCTGATTAGAGAATCGGATGAGTTGAAGCCAGCAAGCTACACACGAACAAAGTTGTGCCCGTGGATGATTCAATAATGACGAATATAAAGAGAAGATGAGGAAAGGGATCGGGGAATGGGGAAAAGAAGGAGATGGATAGGATGCAGGGGAGAGAAGTGAAAGGAGGAGGAGGAGGAGGAGGCTCTTAAACAGGGGAAAAGAGCGCGCACATGCCGCGATGGGCAACCATTTTTTTGTACAGGGAGTAGCAGGGGTCGGTGGTTTTATGGAGGAAAAGGGTAGGGGTACTTTCATCCCGGGGTGTGGATTGTTGTGGTGTTGAGAAGATAGGTAGGGGTGGTCAGGAAAAACTCTTCGTAGGGGGTCTATACGACAATTTTTCTGTAGGTGAATAGGTAGGGGTACTTAAAGAGTGATAGTTGCATCAAAGGGTGGGGATGTTTGCACCGGTGGACAGGTCAAGGGGTAGTAGTTCGTGCATGGGGTAGGAATCCACGGGCAACGAGGAGGTGCCGAAGGGGGGTAGGGTTGTGACAGTTGTAGGGGTAGAGGGTAAAGCCCTGAGAATCTGATATCCAAGGGTAGGTACTTTTGTACTGAGATAAAAGGGAAAAGCAGGGGTGAAAATTCCGTTGAAGGACAAGAGCCGGGAAGGAGAGGTGGGGTCAGCAGATGTTTATTAATATTAAAACAAAAATAACATTAAAAACAGATTTTACCATTAGATATGACTTTAAGATTATTTCCCAATAATAAGCCCAAATACATAAATTAATCTTATTTTTGTTGTTTTAGCATTAACATCCTCAACCAGGTCTGCCAGGCAGAGTGAGCCCGGCATGCGGCGCTACTTCATGCCGGAGGAGGAGGGGGAGGAGGAGAGCGGATGTCCTCCCTCTCTTCCCCTCCGCATGAAACACTTCGATGTCTCCCTCCCCAAAGATCAGCAGAACCAGGAGGGCCCTGCAGACTACTTGCGCTTCTACTACTGCGATTTCCTCAATGCGCAAGAGCACGAAGAATCGCTCAACGGCCTGCGAGAAGCCTGGGAGAAGAAGAAAGAGGACGCCAAGTTGTTCTTCGAGTGGATATCGCACGTTCAACCGCGAGCTAAGACCGATGCCTATCCTCTCTTCCTCATCGTGCAGGAGATGCTGCGACTGTGCCTGCACGACAAGCTGGAGATGCAGTTGGCAGAGTTGAGTACAGCGCAAGAGACTATAGAGATGATGGACGGAAACACAGTCGAGCTCAACGAAAAGATTGAGAGGCTGGAAGAAGAGCTTGAAATCACCAGCGAGAACCTCAAGATAGCAAGAGAGGACCTCGACAAGGAGAGGAACTTGAACAAGGCCCTGCAGACGGAGCTTGAGGACCTCAGGATCCAAGTGAAGTCGCAGGACACGGAGAGCAGACTCATTATCCAAAGCAACGAAAGACTTGCCAAGACCCTCAAGGAGACAGGCAATAAACTCGAAAAGATGAACTTCGGCGAGCTTGCTTTCAAGTCCAAGCTTCATGCCATGGACAAATCGCTTGAAGCTGAGAGAAGTTTGGTGCTTGACTGGCATGATGCTGCAGAGCATGCCATCGCTCAGATCAAATTGGGCATAAATGATGATGGCAAGCAAAGTTTGCATCTTGAAGACGCTGAGAATGCAGCATACCAAGCTTCGCACGAGGCGTTGGTTCACGCGCACCTGATGCTTCAGTTCTCAAGGTTTGCAAACATCTCGGAGATTGAGGGGCAAGATCAACTCGATGACTCTCACTTGCAGAAGATCCTGCAGCTCGTTCCTGAGATGATTGCCTGCGTCTTGCAAATCAAATGTGCCTACCTGGCTGAGCGAATGCATCAGACGCCTGTCCTCAATGAGAAACTGAAGTTGGGAAAGAGTGAAAGAAGGCTGGACAGGGCAAGTGAGGAGAAGTTCTTGTATGTAGCCGCATCGAGTGCAAACAGCTTTCTCGTCGGTGAGATGCTGCCAAGGAGCTCGATCACATATTCTCACTTTGTGAACGAGAAGAAGAGCAAACCGCTGGTTATCTTCGGCCCCGAGTCATCCAGTCAGCTGCATCGCTTCAACAAGACGGAGGAGGACGGAGACAAGAGGAGCTGCACATACATTGCAGTGCCAGTCTTCAACCAGCAAGGAACGCTCTGCGCATTCGTCGCTGTGGATTCTCTACAAATCGACTCACCGGTGCCAGACTTGAATGTGAAATGGAAAATCGACTTTCTAAGATCGATAGCGAAATTTCTTGGAAAAGCGTATGCAATGCATGAAGGGCTAGGGTATGACCTTGAGAGCTGTCATGGTCCTGTGCACTACGCGAAGAGAATGTTGGAAGTAACGAAAGGAGTGCCTGTTGAAACACTTGCGGATTATGACGAGGTGAGGGACAGGATTCAGTTGACATCTGCCGGAAAGAGAGCTGAACTCAAGTGCTAGATCATCTTCGAGGAATTGGATGCTCCATTGATTTCTTCTTTGGCAGAAAGAGGGCAGAATGTGAGGCTATCCAGCTCTTGCTGCTTTGCATGTTGACTTTTTGTGCAGATGTTCGGCTATTTCAAAGAAGAAATCCTTCGAAGGAGATACTTTGTAATGTTTGACTTTTCCTCAGTTAGATCTGCTCTCTGTAGCTTTTTCTCATGGAGCTACAGGTGAACACAGTCTCAGAGTTGTATTCAGCCAAGGTTGAGGACCTCGTACAACTCAAGCGCGCCATGGAGGATGAAACTTTCAACCATCAATACAACAAGCGTCGATTGCGGTCTTGCGTGCACATTCCCAGCCCTCCCCCAGAGACTATCAAGGTGCATCCTATTGATAACAGAGGCATCTGACACCTGATACCTCCCTGCAGGTTTGGAAAGCAGTTCTCATCCTGCTGAAACAATTCGAAGAACAGCCTGAGAAGCTCGAGGCTGAGCCCATGGAGACCTGGTCCTACATCCGAGGAATCCTCATCGATGAAAGACATTCACGAGACAAGCTATCCGTAAATCCGCTCCTAGAATATTCATCGCTTCTTTGATGCCTGAGCTCTAGGTCTTGATAGAGAGCTTTGATCCAACCAAGACGCATGAGGAGTCTTTTGACAGGAGATATGACCTCACTCTCCGTCAATTCACTTCCATTCGTCACTCCGCCCTGCTCCGGGAAGGATTTCCGACGGTAACTCGATGAGAGAAGCTTGAGTGATGGTGATGGTTTGGGGTAGGTGTTTCTATACGAGTGGGTCTACATCACGTTGTGGATTTGTACGCTCAGCAAAGAAATGAATCGATTGCAGGCAGAGGGATAAGAACAGAACTTCATGTAGATTCATGTGTATATACATTCTTTCTGTAACCTCAAATTCGCTGCTAATGTAGGTCTTCGACTGTGCAATTATTTATTTTGCTGTAAATTCGTCATGTTTTCCTGCTCAAGCTTGTGTTTGAAGAATACGGATTCCAAGAAGAGGATGTCACTTTTTGCAACCTATTGAGGGTGTGAGAACCCGACGAGAAGAAGGAACAAGCATGTCACCGAAGATGGCCGGGTGTTGTAGAGCCAGCAAACAACTTCTTCAACACTGAAACCATGATCCGTGATCAAGACATATCCGATAGCGCACGTCTCCTTGGAGCGTCTGCTTTCAATCTGCAGAACCTGGCTCGTCGTACTCAAGTGAGCATCCTTGAAGATGTACTGCAACTCAATCTTGTCGCTCCAAGCAACATCTTGAACCCTCACATGTGGCAAGTGATCGTGCCAGGGAAACTTGTCGTCCTTGCTTTGGATGCTCATTTCCTTGATTCTGATAATTTCTCCCACCTGGTTGTAGCGATGTAAGTCAAACGCGCTGCTGCCTCCTCTGGAACCCACCTGCAGGTTCTTGAAATGCTCCTTGACCTCAGCCAGGTCGAGGAGCTGAGAATCCTTGACACGGAACAGGTAGATCTTCGGGCATGCTTGCAGGAGCTCAAAACTACTCTCAATATCAGCTCCGACTATCAGCCACTGCGGGCTGCCTTCTAAAGTAAAGAACTCCCTCTGCGCAACATGTCACTTTGAGATGAACAAGGGAAGATCCATCGACCTGATGAGCCTTACAGAGAGAGGAAACAACGTTCTTGATGTTGTAGCATTCCAACCATTCACCATTCCTGTCGTAGACTTTCTTGAAATGACAAACTCTTGGCTGCAGGAAGGGTTCGCACGCATTCTCCACGGAATATCCACGCAGAAGCACTAGGTAGACAGCAAGCAGAACGGCAGAACGGGTGAAGTCTAGCTCCTGCCTTCATGTCAATGTTGTGCTGCTCCAAGCATCAGAGCATCATGATGCTTCTTACGGTTTCACCGCCCAGCAGCACCAGATGATCCGTCCAGTAATGAACCTCGTGCTTACGGAGAGCCTTGCAAAAGGCAATGACGCTTAGAGGGCTCAAATCGTTGACAAGAATCTGAGCAATGAGGTGTGAGAAGCGCAGGACATAAACCAACACAACAGACTTCATCGTCAAGCAAGTCTCGAATGATCCTGATCGCCGTCCCATAACTTTCTTCTGCCAAATCCTCATGATGTGCTGATGTCCGACAGAGAGAAAGTCTGCCGGTGATGACTGGAATCAATCGGTCTTGGTCCCACATCGTGTTCGGAAGCCGGTCCTTTGACAATGGACTTCGAGCTCGTGAAGTAGTTGAGGTCACAGAAGCTATCGAAGAAGTTCTTGTTGGTCCGATCGACGGCGTTTGCGCCCTCTTCTCTCTTTCTTTCTCTTTGGGGAAACCCCCGACCTCATTCCAGGAGGAGATCAACTTGTTCAGCTCCACGATCTTCTTACTCTTCCATTGTACTCTAGAAAGCTCAGGAGTCCTACATCCAACATCATGATCGGACAGCTTTCACAGAATTCCCAGTACCTGTCAGTTTCATTTTTTTCTGTACTTCTCCCTTCCGAGGCAATGATCTTGGATATCTTGACTTGGATCGAGGAGGTTTCTACCGATTGTCTGAATAACCTTCTCCTCAAGTCTTTTGAAAAATCATTGGAGCTTGCTGCATGTTCGTATGCAAAGCCCAGGGTTGACTGGGACTTTTTCATGAGTGACGGAACTGAGACGCTGTGAGTCAAAATTCCTCTTGCGCCGTTGCGTTGCTCGAGTTCATCATCATCCAAGTCTGGGACCTGAAAGATTTGGCTCTGACTCTTGTGCAAACCAGAGGGTCGAGGAGCAAAGCTGAGTTTAACAGGGACATACGGCTTGAGTCGTGACTGCACTGACTGTGCCTCTTTCCTTGATAGGGTAAAGCGGCAAGGAGAGTGAGAATCAGCACAGATCAGTTTAGTTCCACCTCACCTGTTCTGAATCAACGGCTGAGTCTCAGAAACGTCCGACAAGGCCCTGGATCTCATTGCTCCAGTCCCCTTCTTCGATCCTCTTCCAGGCTTGCCATTTCCTTTTGCTGCTGCGATAGGTGGGAGGGTCACGTTCCCCTCCTTGCTCATCCCTTCCAATCTACAGCTTCCTTCCCAGGGCGAAATCGCACTCTATGTGTAGGTTTCTTGCTAAAAGAGCAAACTTCAATCTCTTGTCGATTCCAGGCTCTTTCAAGGCACAGGTCTTAAGGAAAAAGGCTCAGCTCGTTCAATCGAATCGCAGGTAGTCAGCGGCGGAAGCCTGCATGACATCTCTGTTCTCTGCAACGTTTGTCTCTGGTGCATGATGTCGCCATCTCGATGATCCTACCGCTCTCATGCGCCCTTCGCCTCTCATCTCCCTCCATCTGTTGCCCAATCCCGATCACATCTGCGTACTTTGCCCCCCACCCTGCCCACCCTACAATGCTCAATCCTACCACCCACCCCTCCTCAAGAAGTTTGACCGATATGTACACCCCCATCCCCTACTCCACCCCTGCTCAGTCCGATTCTACCAGTCACGTCAACACGTAGGTGGAAGGGTACCGGTGCATCAGGCTAAGACCATCACGAAGAATCGGGGAGGGGTGGGGTAGTGAAGGTACCAAACGATCAGGTTCCAAAGAGAGAGGCCGCCGTGAAGTAACTAAAATATTAGTACCGCACTTGGTCTGTCGGTCAATTTCTAAAAGTAGTTTTAAAAGGTCCAGTCGTGCGGCCGATCCCATCGGATCTGACAGTCACCTGTGAATCTGAAACCGTGCCTTCCGAAGTTCGGAAGTTCGCCGGGCCCGCGGCGCCGGGCCGCCGCAGTCGCCGTGAACTCGGAACAGTGGCGGCGGACTGGACTCCCCGCCCGGCCGGTGCGGCCCTGGCTCTTCAGGCCGCAGTGTGACTGCGGCTTGCCGCTGGACTGTCACAGTGTCTTTCAACTCGACTCTCATTGAAGACGGTAAGTTACATTGAAAATCAGCCTAGTACGAGGGCAAACAGGAGAGTTCAGGTCCGGTCCGGTCCGCCCCCGGGCCCGGGGACCGTGAAGCAAAGTGTGCGCCAAGCAACTCTGAAACTTGAACGGTGACGGTGCTCTTTGAACGGTGCGGACGGTGGGGCGCGGCGGCCTCAGTGAGCTAGGACCGGCCCGGGTCTCGCCGCCGGCCCGGCGGCTCTCATTTACTAATTTATAAAAGTGAGCTTTGATACTACTTGATTTTTGACTAATTTTTCAAGAGAATTTTTTCCTTTTCTCCAGCTCACCATGCCAGGTGCCGGGTGGCATGATGAAGGTTCTAAAGAGCCCATGAGGGGATGATAGGCTGAGCAGAGGAAGAGCGAGGGGAGAAGTCCACAGGACGATGCAAAGCTCCAGTGCTTCCGGCTCTGACGTTGTCAAGGATGGCCTGGAAGGTTTCCTGCGCGTTCAGGTACGTGCGGCGCTTGATTGTGCTGTGGTTGTTTACATTTCCTTGTAGTTCGAAGGGAAGTTGAAGAGATGGGCGAGGAAGTGGTTGAAGCTGGACAAGGATGGCAACCTCGACTTCTATGATAGCCAGACTTCTGTTGCAAAGATCGAACGGTTCTCCATGAACCTGAAAGAGCTCGACTCGATTTGCAAAACCGATGATGTGAGCATTTCTCTTAGAAAGGGAGCTAAGGAGGTTCTCCTCCAATCTCAAGATGTCCAAGAGACAGAACAATGGCTTAAAGCTTTCCAGAACAGTGCAAGACGGAACCCATCTGACAGTAAGAAGGATACTCCTGACGTTGGAAGCCTGCCTGTATCATATCCCAAGAATTCGGATCCTGATGAAGGCGTCGATGTGCTGGGTGAGATCCTTGGAGGTAACAGTGAAGAAGAGTACGACCCAGCAGAAGATGCGATAGCTGACATGAAGGACTCCGAGCCTTTGAAAGTCCCATCCGAAACCTCGTTTCCCTCCACACGTGCAACACTATCAAAAGAGCACATAGAGCAGTTCAAGGGTTCTCAGCGCATGAATGAAGATAAATTGACAAACACAGGAAAAGCTCGGCAGGATGATGCACCTCGTGCTGATGTGAAAAAGGATTCCAAGGGAACACCTGCACAGGCAGAGCAGCGCAACGGGGGTAGTTCGTCATTGGGGGACAGGAACAATGGAGCGAAAGGGATCTGTGGAGTTGGTATGGTTCTTGAACCAGCAGACCCTGGTCCAGATGGCTTCTGTGAAGTTCGATCTATCAAGGAGGGAGGGTCTGTATGGTGCGAAGGGACGATCAGGAACGGGGACCTCGTGCTCAGGGTCGATGAGTTGGATTGCAGGGGAGTACTGCGGGAAGAGATCAAGAAGCGCGTGCTGGGACGAGAAGGGACTGTGCTGCTGCTGGAGATGTTCAGGAAAGATTATGGAAGTTTCAAGGTGGAGCTGATCAGGTCTTCATCGACTGGTCTTGGAAAGAGGGAAAACACTGCAAAGGAGAGCGAGGTAGAGCCGAACAAGAAGCCAAGGGCTGGTGGGCAAGAGGCACAGGCGACGAAGGCTGATGGCAGGATAGGAAGGGAGCCGGCGATCAAGGCTGATAGCAGGATAGGAAGGGAGCCGGCCATCAAGGCTGATGGCAGGATAGGAAGGGAGCCGGCCATCAAGGCTGATAGCAGGATAGGAAGGGAGCCGGCCATCAAGGCTGATGGCAGGATAGGAAGGGAGCCCACAACTAAGGCTGATGGCAGGATAGGAAGGGAGCCGACAACGAAGGCTGATAGCAAGATAGGAAAACAAGATGCTGGGATTCAGGATGGAGAAAGGAATTTTATAGAGCACCCCAAGGTCCCTGCAGCTCATACCCCTGTTGTCTTCGCTCTCTTCACTTCAGCGATTCCGAATACTCCCCAACATTTTCCTGCAAACAAGGCGATCGAAGATCTAGCGTCTGTCGGGCAGCCTGGAAGGGATCAACCTATGAGTTTTGAAGCCAACGGGAATCTACCTGTTCAACCTGGTCTGGTGACCCCGGGGATTGCGAATGCGAATGCTGGAATACAAGATACTTCCGCAAGGGTGGAAGCAGCAGAGGAGTGGCAGCAGGCGGACCCAGCGATTCCAATCTCCATAATTCTGCGTGATGCACATGCAATGGATCAGCTAGAGTCGTTCGTGATGTTGCCAAACACGCAGAAGGTGTTGAACTTTGATGAGATCGACAGACTTGTAAGGAAGATTGCTGAAGTCTCAAAGGTGGAGAAGATCGACTCGACAGCGCTCAGAGAGAAATACCCTGAAACGTACAAGCTGGTGGAGGGCCAGATGAGAAGCTTGCTCTCGGACAGCAAGATATCTTCTCACCAGCTGATCTCCATGCTCGATCAGTTGTCGTTGATCGGCTGGGACGGAAAGAAGGAGCCGTCATCCTCCCTCCTGCCGGACATAGTCAAGGTCCTGAGCAAATCTGTCTTCGCCATGAAGCACACTGAGCTTGCGAGGTTGTTCTCTTCCCTCTCTCCCTTCAGCTGTGCGTCATCCTGTCTCTCCAGCTCTGCCGGCTGGTCGCTCATCAAAAAGGTGGAGAACTCTGTCAAGCAGATGAACAACTTCGAATTCCTGGCGGTTCTTGACGCTCTTGCTGCGATCAAAGTCGACATGAGCTCGAGCCTGAACGAGCGAGCATGCGATCGGCTGAAGCGCCTCCTCCTCGATGGCAGGACGGAGATCGGGATGGATCGGATGGTAAGGTTGCTCCTCCTCTTCGGAAAGGCGAGGGACTGTGCTCGAAACATCGAAGTGATTCGCCTCATCGCCTCAAAGATCAGAGTGCAGGCACTGCAGGTTCAGGATCTCCTTGCCGTCCTGCTGCTGCTGGCTGAGCGAGACATCACTCTCAGCATGGCCATCCTGCACGACTTTGCTGCCCAGCTGGCGAAGTGGGGGCAGGAGCTGGTCCCTCCAGCAGCTACTCAGGCTCTCTGGGCACTCTGCTCGCTGGAATGGCGCGATGCCGACAGCAAGGTGATGGACACTCTGCTGCTCTCAGCAACACAGACTCTCCATGACCCTCCGCCTCAAAGTTCTGGCTCTGCTCCCGTTGGGGAGATGGAATTGAGCAGTGTGAACGCTGCTCGTCTCTTGTGGGTCTTGTGTAGGTTGGACATGCAGGACAGGGCGGAGAAGTTTGTCCCTGCGCTGGAGAGGAGGATCATGGTCGACCCGGGTCAGCTAGGAGGACGAGACATCACCGACCTGGCATATGCGATCGAGAAACTCGAGCTGAAGGTCAGCTTGAGTATGCAGCAGGAGATCTCCCGCGCAGCAGCCAAGTTCGTCTCCTCCTACTCTTCGGGTGAGCTTGCGGTGACCCTGTCAGGCTTGACGTTCGGAGGGCACGCGCTCTGCGAGGAGCTAGTGGAGGCGATCCCACTCTCTTCCAGGGCGCTGGGGAGGAACTTGTCTGCATCGACGGCGATCAGCATCCTCCAGGCCCTGTCGAGCGGATTGGAGAGCAGTGGTGGGGAAATAGGAGGGGAGCACAGGAAGAGCCTGGCTACCTCGATCCTCTTGGATGTGGCGAGGATGCTGGACAGATGTGACACCCAGCAGGTGGCGAAGATCGTCCTTGTCTGTAGCCGCTTGCAGCTCAAGGTGCAACAAGAGGTAGAGACCTCCTTCGCTCGCAAGTTTCTGCAGCTGCTGGAGCGATACTCCACGGCTATACGGGGAGGGAGCCGGGCTCAGCAAGGGGGGAGACCGTCGTCGGACTTCCAACAGGCGAATTTTCAAAGGGAGTTCCAGCATCTCTTCCTCTTTGCTCGGACCTCCTACTCCCTCGGCTGGGACTCTCCCTTGCATGCGCAATACCTCGACATGCTGAGAGAGGTGACTCTCTTCTTTGCTCGTTCTTCGGACCCGGCTGTCGTGCTGGACATGTACGTCAGTTTGTCCTCGGGCGAGGAGCTCGAGTCGTGCTTGCGAGCTAGGTTCCCCGAGCTGCTGCTGGAGGGAGAGCAGGAGGAGCTTCCAACAGCTGTAACAGGAGACGCCTTGGGGGGTCAGCGAGGCGGATTGCAGATGAAGAACTTCTTGTCCTCTCTGCTCAAGTTGATCATGGACCTGCGGGATCGCATGCAGGCAGCAGACCTTGGTCGCTTCTACCTCCTCCTCCTCCTCTCAGGTGATGCAAAAGAGGAAGCTCGGAGCTCAACGTGGGTCGGCATCTTCAGCAAGTTGGCAGGGAAGCTGGAGGAGGTGCCGGCCAAGACATGCTGCATGATCATCTGCTCCCTCGCCCTTCTCGGAGTGATCCCGTCTGTAGAGGCTCTTGGCCAGGCAGTGAAGCGCGTGGTGAGGGGTAGGGAGGAGCTGTCGATAGCAGACAGAAGTTGCATGTTGCTGGCCCTGGGGATGTTCAATCAGACCCAGTTGGTGCCGGACTTCAAGGAGCTCTACGACGAGATGCTTGATACACTCCTCGACGAACAGACCAGTTCTGAGAGTGAGAAGGCGAAGTCCAAGGACAGCGAGGACGTCGACATGTTCGATGTAGAGGACGTCAAGGAGAAAGAGAGGAGGATAAGGATGAGGGAGAGCCTCAGCAACCCTTACCTGCATGCACAGATGGCCATCATGCTGCTCTTCTCGCAAGTTATCTTGTGCAACAACGACAATTCCATGGAAGACGTCTGGAAGAAGAACGGGAGCGAGACAAACTCCGAGTCGCGCGAAGTTGCACTATTGACTACGATGCTGATGCGTCTGAGACAAGCTCTGTTGTCTGACGCAGGTAAAGTTGGCGAGGACGCTGTCGAGAAGAAGCTCGGCAAGTCCTCGTTGGAGAGATTCTACATGCTGACGAGTCTGGTCGGCCTTATCAGCCCGCAAGCGACTGCTACCCTCGGGGAGAGGGAGAAGGAGACGATGGAGACGATCAGAATGGCCGGGAAGAAATGTCTGATGCTCTTACAGGACTTTACGGATGGCGAGGAGGGCAGCCGATGCCTGAAGGAAATCAGCGAGACGGCAGCTGAGTTTGGAGTGGAGCTGCGAGTCGGTCGGAGGGACGAGGGTGCTGGTTTCTTGTTGCCGTTGAGCAACGAGGAGAAGAAGGTCGTGCTGGATGTGGTGAGGGCGGAGGACGAGTTGTTCTCTCCGGAGGAGACAAGCTTGCGACTCAACGGAAGGTTCGAGTTGAGGAGGCAGATCTTATCGCTGTCGGGTTGGTCCCTCCTGCAGGTCCGCCTGTCATCGTGGAAGCTTGTGCGGGAGGTGAACGTCGAGAAGAAGAAGTTCTTGTTCCGAGGGGATCGACTGCGCAACTACATCTCATCGGAGTTCGAAGAAGAATGCATCCTCCGCGCCCTCCCGCGCCTCCACCATCGTGTTGAGGTCATGAGACTCCTAGAGGCTCTCCTCTGCATACATGATGGCTTCGTGAGGATGGACGCCGGGACGATCGCGCTGTGCCTGCGTAAGCTGGGGCAGCAGAACCCGATGGACAACAGCCGGAGGCTGCAGGAGATCGTGTTTCAATCCGGTCTACTTGCTCATTGCTCCTCCAAGCTCGACGAGATGGACGGATCTCAACAAGCGCAGCTCTTCAATGACGTTGTCAGCATCTGGATTGAAGTCGGTCGGCCTCGCAGCAGGTTCCCGACCTCGCTGATGGTGACGCTGATGAAGCTGGGCGAGGAGGCGATGAAGGGAGACAACCTCGACCTCTCCATGGTCGCGAACATGTGCAGCGGGATCCTGGAGGCGAAGGATGAGCTGCCCAAGGAGGTTCTGTCTCAGACCCTCCTTGCTCTTGTCAACCGCTGCAAGGACGAAGAGTTTGTCAGGCTACTGCAGGTCGACGTTGTCGTCCCCGTGTTCGCTTGCACGTGCCTCATGAGGAGCCTCAGCGTCGGGCAGCACCTGGTGGACATGATTGCTGTGGAAAAGCTCAAGGAGAAGATTGACGGGTGCGGGGCTGAGCTGAGAACAAGGCACGTCCAGACCATCTTCTGGTGGATGGGCTGTGCAGGGGACAGGAGTGTCAACTTCAGCTACAGGCTGATCAAGAGGCTGCAGCAACAGGTTGGGGAGATGAGCGCTCAGGAGCTCAAGGACGTAGTCTGCTTTCATGCTCAGCTTCAGCTGTTCCTCTCCACAGAGATGGGCTTGCAGATGATGGACAGGTTCAAACAGCTGGACGTCTTGGAGGCGCTTCCCCTGAACGACTGCGTATTCATCCTCTCCTCCTTCGCTCTCAGCTGCGTCGAGGACGAGACTTTCGTCCTCGCCCTGTTGCGCCGGATCGACCTGCTCGAGAGATCACCGGCGATGTCCAGCAGCAACGAGTGGAACGTGGAGATGGAGATCAGATTTCTCTGGTGCTGTGTGGCGATGCCCTGCCTCTGCAACACTCTCTTCCGTCCTGATCGTACAGACTCGTCGGAGCAGCCGCTCTCCTCCTTCTCCAGCCTCCACACTCGCTGCCGTTTCCGCATCCTTGAGAGGTTCGTGTTTTCAGCCACGTTTTCTGCCTCTCGACTTGCTGCTGCTGTTGGTCTGTGAATGTCTTGATCTGACTGACTTGCTTCTGATATTCCTTGTATGCTAACGGTGGTTCCTTATCATAGGTGGACGAAGAATCAGTTCTCTGTTCAAGGAACCAGAGGTCTTCACCTCGTCCAGCTCCTGCTCTCCTGCTCCTGCTTGCCTTTCTTGTCCTTGCCAACTCCTCTCCCAACTCATCCTTCCTCTGCTTCATGCATCGTCCTCACAGTTTCCAGTAGAAGAGAAGCGACTGAGCCAGCTCGAGCTCAGCATGCTCTGCCAGTACCACGTGGCAGTCCGCCTCCTCATCGCTCAGGGATGCTCCAACGCGCAGCTGGAGAGGTTGGGGCTGGTAGACATTGACGCAGAGACTTCCTTGCAGCTGGAGAATGCGGCACGTTGGTGCTGGAGGCGCTGGTGGACGCTGACGTGCCGGGCAGGTCAGAAATCAGTCGGTGACGCTGGAGAAGCAGCGGAAGACTGTGAGCTGCAAGGTCTACGGGGAGGCTGCAGACGTCTTCAAGGTGATATGGTCTGCTGGAGCTGGGCGATGGTGCTGACAGGCGGCAGGACATGGGGTATGAGCCCTGCCGAGACTTTGAGTCCTTCTGCTATGACCGCGACACGATGGAGGGGAGGGGAAGAAGCAGGGAGAGAGCCGCGATCCTCGGAGACAAGCGCATCTCAGTGGGGTATCCTCTCCCGCTCATGTACCAGAAGCTGAAG